TCCGGATTTTGGTATCCACCCGCATAAGGTGAAGGTGGTTGCAGGTCCTGCGCCGCCGGTCCTTCTGTTGGCTCCGGTGGAGAGGCCAGTTTGGGGACTGGTACCCTCTGAGGTGAGGCGACAGGTTTGACATGATGATCTTTAGCAGGCTTTTTCGGAGCAGGGTGAGAGTCATGGAATTTATACGTGGGCAAACAGCATTCAAATCTGTGACAGGAGATAGGCGATAAGCTACCAGCAGTGGTAAAACACCTATGCCCTTATTGTTTTTCGTGTGTAAGTAACGTCTACGCTTGCATCAATTTCAATCTCGTCCCTATTGCATATTCCTTTACAAAACGAGAGGTATGATGTCCAGGGGCCGGCGCCCCGATTTCGTATACCCCTTCCATTGCCCCCGGAAATAGGTTGCATCAATTTGACCCTTTGAAAATACTACCACTGACATCGCTTTCCGGTTAACAAATTATTTTCTACGAGTTTTGATTCTTCTAGATGTCAATGCGTCACCTAGAGATAGCCCAATACAGATAATTGTCTCCTCGCGCACTTAAGAAAGGAGAAGGGGGCTGGAGCCGAAATTTGTCCCGCAATTGTTTCTGGGATGGTTATTCAGGACTTGCCAGTCAGTTAGGGGCCCAATTTCTCCCTGTAGTCCTTAGTAGCAGCCCAGACGTCTTGCAAAAGTTAACGCTGCCTACTTTTTGTCCCTCATGTGCTGGGGACTTTTTGCGGTCCCCAGCTACAGGAAGTGAACAGGCGGGAAGTATTCACAGGATGATAATAATTATGGATTCTACATTTATCTTAACATTTTTCTAGTTTAGACAGTATAGTACCTGCATGTTAAAAAGTCGTGTAGTAGAATAATTTTGTACCTAAGCGCAATTAATCTTTCACAAAAAAGGTATCTTTAAAATTTTAAGACATTTTCCCTTAAAATGTTCATTTCATTGTCCTGCGTGCATGTGATCTACTCCTATACTTTTGGAGTACATGACTTACTTGCATATAGGCTTGCATAGTTTTTGGCACGGACGTACACACAAAAAGTTTGTCTTTCCGGCCAGCTTCTTCAGGTCTACGGCAGGTTTCTTCTTTGGTGGCGGGGGTTTCTTTTCGGCTGCGACCTTCTTAGGAGAAGTTGAAGTAGCAGGAGAAGCTTTACTGCCTAAATACACTGGCCGAATACTCAAATTTAATCTCGATCTCGCGTAGTACATACACTATTGTCTCCTGTTCCGTAGCGCGGGGTACAATCTCAGGTAGCAGTTCTCTTGAACATCCCCCCTCCCCCTTAACTCCCCTGCCCACAAAAAGCCTTTTAAAGATAGGAAGAAAAAGTGCCCTTCGCTACCTAACTTAAGAACTCAAAGAAAAACCAAATCAACAGCTGCAATAATCGTTCTCTCATGTTTTGTCAGTCCTCTCATATATTAGGGCACGTGATTTATGAGAGACCAGTGTGCAACTATTCTCGTAATCAGTGACGGATCCAGACCTCCACATAAGGGGGAGGAGGACGGTCATCCGGACCCCGAGATCGGGGGGTGGGGTGGGGGTTGGGGTGCTGGTCTCAAAAAAAAATTTTCGGCCCTTCGGGACCAGTTTGGTCTAAAAATAAGGGGGCGGGGGCCGGCTCCCGGGCCTCTTCTCTGGATCCGCCACTGGTAATAGCACTCGTAACCTCGAATTGACAGTGTCAATAATTAGAGAGTGTGGCCTTGAATTACACAGCTCCATTGAGTGTTTTATGTCAGTGACATTAAATTAGTCAATAGAGTCCCAAGAGGACATTGTTTCTAAACCTCATGGATATAGGAACTTTGATATTACCACGTATCATAGATCCTAGAGGTTACATAGTCTTAAGCAATATATTCTTCATGTACCTGTTGGAGATGATTATCAACTGTGGCCAGTCAATATGAGAAAAGTCTCTGGTATACCTCGTTTATACCGATACATAACTGCATATAAATTTATTTCTTTTTTTCTGTTTAGCTGGAGTGTCGCAATTTCTTTTTGCCATTTTCCCAGTCCGAATATTATGAAGCTGTTCTAGTGTTACTCTCACACAAAGAACATTTGAAAGTTTGCGTTAACAAATTAAGTAAGCGTTGCTGTGAACGGAAGATATGCACCTGATAAATAGGACGCGCTGCAAATGAAAAAGATCCTGGTAAAAGACCTAATTTCCTGAGCCCAGGATCGGACAAGGTCGTTATTCAGGAACTGTTGAGTAGAAAAGACAATTTTATATACAAGGTTAGACAGTCCCTAAAAAGCTGTCAATCACTTGTCCGCGATATATGTTTCCTGCGTCTTGGTTTAGGCCGCACGAGGCACGTTGTTTCTCTTGTCCCAGTTTGCTGGGAGCATGCGGCTAATTCCCGCGCAGCAGCTTGGCGAACACAGTGGGGCGCACGAGTCTGGGCACGACTGTCCTGGACAGCTTAGAGGAGCAAGACCTGGGGAGGGTGGAGCCTGGGGGACTGGATTTGGTGCCTACAAAAAAGAGGGACATATTAATGTTTGGAAGATATTTAACTAACATCCCCACGGAAGTGAATAAATAGGTACAAAGCAAGTAGAAATATAAAACCAAATTCATACAAGTATCACTTGAACGTTGGTCAAGAGTTACTAATTTTAAATTTAGGGCTGGTTTCTTTGTCCCTATTCGCAAAATTTTGTGCCAGCAAATAGAACCTCGCATTATTTACTGTAGGATTAGTATTCCTTACCATAATATTATTACTTACCATAGGATTGGTATTGATCACCATGGGAGTAGTATTACTTACCATAGGATCAGTGTTGATCACCATAGGATTAATATTACTTGCCAAAGGATTTGTATTACTTACCATAGGATTGGTATTGATCACCATGGGAGTCGTATTACTTACCATAGGATCAGTGTTGATCACCATAGGATTAGTATTACTTACCATAGGATTGATATTGATCACCATGGGGTTAGTATTACTTGCCATGGGATTATTACTATTCACCATAGGCTTAGTGTTGATTACCATGGGATTAGTATTACTCACCACAGGCTTAGTGTTGATCACCATAGAAATAATATTTCTTACTATAGGATTGTATTACTTACCATATAGTTAGTATTGCTCACCATAGGGTTAGGTGGCACTGCTCCATAAGGGAAGCCTTGCTGAGGAGGCACTGGGGCAACTGGTTGTGGTTGTGGTGTCATGTAAGAGGAACAACAGGAGAAATCACAAGATGGGGCACACGACATCGGGCAGGCACCTGGACATGTTGGCTCTGAAGGAGGAGATCGTTTACAGTTAGCTTAGTTAATCAGGTGATGCAATGAGTCTAGGAGTAGTCCTGTCACGACTGAAGAATGTGCATGCCAACAATCGCCGTTAAAGAAAAGATATCGCAAAATAATGTAATTTTATAAAATACTGAAAAGTAAACAGTATCATTCAGAGCTTTCAAGTTAGATCTACACAACATGTCTCTCGATTTAGAGTGTCCCTGCAAGTTTTCGACAAATCCAGAGAATTGGTTAATTTAAGGTAAGGATTAGAAGTCGAGGAAGGGTAAGAAAGGTGAGTCGCATTTCAATTCTTTGATGTCAAAAATATCTATAATTCTGACTCAATATAAATAAACCATCCATATTCCTCGAAGTTGTCGCGCGGCCGATTGATGGTACACATGGTACACCACTTTTCTTCTGATTGTTTGCCCCTGTTTTTCTAAAAATGATCTAATATGGACTTTCTTCAAGCATCTGTAGGAAAGATACTCTGAAAAGTTAACGTAATTCGAGTTTCGAGATAACTCGATAAAAAAAGCATCGAAACTGTACGAAAAACATTTTGAGGCGGTGAAAAGAAAGCACCATTTTGGGACCCTCTCTATGGTTTCCCGTGGGAGGTGAAAATACAAAGTTATACCAGGGGCTCTCCTGGTTCTACTGTACCCGGAGGGGATGCCATCATCGCTGCTGCTGGATCCGGATTTTGGTATCCACCCGCATAAGGTGAAGGTGGTTGCAGGTCCTGCGCCGCCGGTCCTTCTGTTGGCTCCGGTGGAGAGGCCAGTTTGGGGACTGGTACCCTCTGAGGTGAGGCGACAGGTTTGACATGATGATCTTTAGCAGGCTTTTTCGGAGCAGGGTGAGAGTCATGGAATTTATACGTGGGCAAACAGCATTCAAATCTGTGACAGGAGATAGGCGATAAGCTACCAGCAGTGGTAAAACACCTATGCCCTTATTGTTTTTCGTGTGTAAGTAACGTCTACGCTTGCATCAATTTCAATCTCGTCCCTATTGCATATTCCTTTACAAAACGAGAGGTATGATGTCCAGGGGCCGGCGCCCCGATTTCGTATACCCCTTCCATTGCCCCCGGAAATAGGTTGCATCAATTTGACCCTTTGAAAATACTACCACTGACATCGCTTTCCGGTTAACAAATTATTTTCTACGAGTTTTGATTCTTCTAGATGTCAATGCGTCACCTAGAGATAGCCCAATACAGATAATTGTCTCCTCGCGCACTTAAGAAAGGAGAAGGGGGCTGGAGCCGAAATTTGTCCCGCAATTGTTTCTGGGATGGTTATTCAGGACTTGCCAGTCAGTTAGGGGCCCAATTTCTCCCTGTAGTCCTTAGTAGCAGCCCAGACGTCTTGCAAAAGTTAACGCTGCCTACTTTTTGTCCCTCATGTGCTGGGGACTTTTTGCGGTCCCCAGCTACAGGAAGTGAACAGGCGGGAAGTATTCACAGGATGATAATAATTATGGATTCTACATTTATCTTAACATTTTTCTAGTTTAGACAGTATAGTACCTGCATGTTAAAAAGTCGTGTAGTAGAATAATTTTGTACCTAAGCGCAATTAATCTTTCACAAAAAAGGTATCTTTAAAATTTTAAGACATTTTCCCTTAAAATGTTCATTTCATTGTCCTGCGTGCATGTGATCTACTCCTATACTTTTGGAGTACATGACTTACTTGCATATAGGCTTGCATAGTTTTTGGCACGGACGTACACACAAAAAGTTTGTCTTTCCGGCCAGCTTCTTCAGGTCTACGGCAGGTTTCTTCTTTGGTGGCGGGGGTTTCTTTTCGGCTGCGACCTTCTTAGGAGAAGTTGAAGTAGCAGGAGAAGCTTTACTGCCTAAATACACTGGCCGAATACTCAAATTCAAGGCTTGGGAGCGACAACAGTCTAATCAACAAAAAGTAAGAGGATAGCAGCTCATAGATGCCAAAATTGCCTTGAGTTTTGTTGATTCTCGCACATGAGTGAATACCCCTGATAATAAGAAAACAAATCGACTGCACTTGCTTCTGATCTTACATCCGACAAAAATTTGGCTTTTTCCCGCTATTATAGAGAATAGTGTGCTGGCTCGCATAAGGCTCTCCAGCAAAAAGCTTTATATACTGATGCGAGGGGGAAAACTGACAAAAGAAGAATATTAACTATGCTTACCTGGCTTGCAAAGAGGAGCGCACTCCGCAGAACACCCCTGTGCGGCGCAGGGATCAGTGGGATATCCCCCATATCCAGTACTGTATGGGTTAGCGGGATACTGAGGATAAACTGGAGCTTGATTAACGGGAAAACAGCAACCTGCGTCGCAGCTAGGATAACAAGTGGATGGGCAACCCGTAGGGCATGCTGGAGGTGGAGGGGGAGGAGGGGGTAGGGAGGCTTGGTAACTGACAAGTTGTGGAAACATGTCCGGGGTGTAATTCGGGGCCCCGGGTGCACAGCAGCTTCTTTTACAGGAAGAAAGACAGAACCTCCTGCAACCCGGATGACACTCCCAGGCGGATCCTACGATAGAAAATAATATTTGAAGACAGTCAACCTTTTGCTTCTAAAGCTTAAATGACATGACCCTGGGTATCTGAGACCTTTCATGCCTGGTTTCTGGTTTCAGTCAACTCTTTAAAGTGATCAGTCGGCCCGCGGTCGACCACGACGAATTCCCCGCACGCAAGGAAAAAACCTCTTATACCTAGGGCAAATACCATCAATAATCTCCGTCCTTACTACTAGCCAGTAGCAGTGTATTATCTTAATAATCACAACATACAGTCTTGATTAGTGACAATTGTCTACAAACTTTACAAGAAAGCTACTTGTAGGCAGATGAGGTGCAGGATAGACTGTGGAAAAAAGCTAACGCTGGATTGAGCACGAAGTTCGGCGAGAAGGGAGAGGTTGGCGGCCTTTTTTCGCTTTCCACCATCAGCCCCTCGCCCTCTCTTATCAGTTTACGGCCTCGTTTATCAAATAAAATTCATAAGAAAAAAGAGGGCTGCTACCGGTCTAAGGGCTATCGCGGGTACAAATATTTAACTGATTTAGAAAATGTGTCATTAAGGGTAACGTAACTCACTTTGGACGGGATTCGCAACTACTACCGACTTTCTACCACCATGACCTAGAGGGGAAAAAATATAAAATGTATGGATCAAAAATCTTAGAAATACCGTGCTCTTTGAACAATGTTCAGACGAGATTTTAAACATTGCACAAATTCCCTTACCAGTCTTGTGCTTTAAACTATTTGCAACCGAGACCAGTGCGAGAACACAACAAAATATCACAGCCGACTTCATGGCCACTGGCGTCACCCTTCCACCTAGGAACGAAAAGGCAAAAACATTTTGTATTCATAGAAATTCCTCTTAGGCCTGTGGTTGCCTGTAGGCTCTTTTGGGCAGTCGTTCAGGGGCGGATAAGTACCCTATACCCTCTCTGCTTGACGCTGGTATTTACAGTCATGTTTGCTCTGTCTTCTGTAGCCTGATTCTCAGTGGACGATACGAGATCGCTCATTTTAAGCTTAAGTTTGAGCGAGCGAACTCAGGCAAATAAGCTGACTGGCTTCGTTTGATTTACCTGCACATGAAACCTTTGGACAAGCGGCCATCACTCTGACGTCAGTTTCACTGCGCTTAATCGCAACTTCGCCCCAGTCTCTCTCTCTTATTATTTAGGTCAACAATGACAGGGACAGAGATCCTGGGAACGAGATTGGCTTTTTAGTTGAGCCTGAACTACTTAATTTTCCTCATTGAATTATTTCAAAGGGGTTCTAGTCACAATAGCCCGTGAACAGGTTCTTTAGTGCTTGTTTGTCATCCTTTACTTCACTCAACTAAGTCACATCTTGAGAAATTTGATTTTTAAAGTCGCAACTTTCTATTTACAAACGGCACGCGTATATTTACAAATATCTCTCCTGCTGACGTTCAAAATTCAAGATAAATTCTAAGAGCTAGCCCCAGTTGTTCAAAAGGAGGATGATGCTATCCGGTGGATGTATCTCTACCCAGTACCGACTGAGGAACCCAATTGTTTTCTCTAACACTTATCCGCTGGATAGTGATATATCTAGTGGATAGCGCTATTCAACATTTGAACAACCAGGGCCGGGTTATTCAAATACTGTGCAAGAATAAGCGCAAGTAAAAAACAAACGCAGACTGGACGCANCCTGTAGGCTCTTTTGGGCAGTCGTTCAGGGGCGGATAAGTACCCTATACCCTCTCTGCTTGACGCTGGTATTTACAGTCATGTTTGCTCTGTCTTCTGTAGCCTGATTCTCAGTGGACGATACGAGATCGCTCATTTTAAGCTTAAGTTTGAGCGAGCGAACTCAGGCAAATAAGCTGACTGGCTTCGTTTGATTTACCTGCACATGAAACCTTTGGACAAGCGGCCATCACTCTGACGTCAGTTTCACTGCGCTTAATCGCAACTTCGCCCCAGTCTCTCTCTCTTATTATTTAGGTCAACAATGACAGGGACAGAGATCCTGGGAACGAGATTGGCTTTTTAGTTGAGCCTGAACTACTTAATTTTCCTCATTGAATTATTTCAAAGGGGTTCTAGTCACAATAGCCCGTGAACAGGTTCTTTAGTGCTTGTTTGTCATCCTTTACTTCACTCAACTAAGTCACATCTTGAGAAATTTGATTTTTAAAGTCGCAACTTTCTATTTACAAACGGCACGCGTATATTTACAAATATCTCTCCTGCTGACGTTCAAAATTCAAGATAAATTCTAAGAGCTAGCCCCAGTTGTTCAAAAGGAGGATGATGCTATCCGGTGGATGTATCTCTACCCAGTACCGACTGAGGAACCCAATTGTTTTCTCTAACACTTATCCGCTGGATAGTGATATATCTAGTGGATAGCGCTATTCAACATTTGAACAACCAGGGCCGGGTTATTCAAATACTGTGCAAGAATAAGCGCAAGTAAAAAACAAACGCAGACTGGACGCAGTTTGATTAGAGCTAATTTTACAAGGATTTTCACTAAGACCTATCAGAAAAGTGACTGTTTTCAGTCATGTTGCATTTTCGCGTCAGGTCGAGAGACCATCCAGCCTCATCTTAAAGGACACCAGGAAACAAAAAACGAGATTCGAATCTAAATACAGGAATAGAAACAAGCGGTATGAAATGACGTTTAGTTCAAGTGATACTTATACATTCTACTCTGATTTTAAGCTAAGAATAGTTTCTTGTCATGTCTTGTCCTTTCAGAGATCAAACCGAACAATAAAGGGAGTAATCTCCCCTAAAACTTGTTAACAAAAGACAGACAGCAATCTTTACAAGTCTTCCCACTGTCAGTCTATAATATAACGTAGTTAAATTGAACTTTCCCCGCTTGCTATGCACCACATCCTTGTAAGAAGATCATTGCAACTACACTGTCCCAAGCTCTTAGATTAGAAATAGTATTTCCTGTTTATAAACCTATTCTATGACTCGGCAGGTTGTTCGCTGTAAATGACTTATTGTTTTAGACTTCATACTGCCGCATCTTCGCTAAATTTGATATCATTTTTTTTCCTTACAAATAATCAGTGAACTTGAATATTCTGGCGTATCTCGATAAGCAACCACGCGTAGCATCGAAATTGTTGCGATGGCACCACAGAATAATTTCATATGTGGAAAAACTTATCACAAAGCCTTCTTTGTGATTTTTGCTGGTAATCGCAATAATAGTTTAGTCTTTCTACAGCATTCTTTTAGCGCGCTTTTTTTTTCATCTAAACTTGATCTGTCTTTGCGCTTGTTACTTGCCTTGGTCAAAGAAACGATATCTTTTCTAGTCTTCCTTACATCGCAATAGCTAGCCTTTAAATTAAGAGCCAGACGTAATAGAATTTCTATCTTACAAAAGCCTACCATGTGACTGACCCTATTGTTATAGTTATAAGGGGATACTTCTAAAACCATCCACTTTTCTCGACTTCCCAAAAAGAATTTTGACGAGCGTTTCTGAGATTATTTTTCTCAAGGTAAATTAAGGTTCCTTTAGATGAAATAAACAGAACTTACCCTTGCGATATGTTTTCAGCGCACACAGGCTATGGGCTTTCACCTGCTTACGGGTAAATATTTTACCGTATCGTATAGTGAAGCCACGGGACTGTTTTTACATGAAATATTCAGAAGTTAAAACAGCTAAATGGTTATTACACTTTATTTCACACTTTCAGTGGCATTTCTTGATAAACTGCTGGTCCATTAACCCCTCCGAGTGTTTGAAAATCTATGAAATGATTCGAGAAAGACAGTTTTAGTGCACTAAGTTACCACTTTTACAGATGATGTAGCCCTTCGCGGAAGACGCCGGGATAAACATGGTATTATTTGCCAGTAAAGTGGCAGATTAAATTCACGCATTACCTCATAAGCCGAGCATCTATAAAAAACGGGTCCATAATGCTTTTCAAACCCCAGGAGAAACAAACTGAATCAAATTCATTGGCTATGAAAAAATGACAACTTTCTCAATCAGGATGTCAGTGACGTTCAGTAATTCTCCCGTCCCACCCTCCCTAAACGTCCCCCAGCAGGTTAAAGAACACAACCTGCTGTTTACAAACTTTCTTTTTCTTTCGCCGTTTAACCAATCAAATCACATTACTGTTGGATTGTAAGATCAGAGACATTAGCCATCTCGAGTTAAAACACTACAGTCAATTAACTCGCGGTACCTCTACTTTAGGTCAATTCTGTAGCACAAAGACATTTACGAACACCTTTCTGTTTATAGTAGGCAGAATTCTCCATGGCCGGCCTGAAGATATTGAACTATAATCTCTTCCTCTATAATGCAGACACTTGCACTCTATGATGCAGAAACTTGCTTCTGTCCCTCAATTTGAGTCTGTAATAAAGAAGGATTGACTATAGTAATTCTTTTAGCCATATACATGTCATGATAATTCGATAATGAATAGATATCCATTCCCGCTCAGAAGAAAGTTCCAAGATCCAAGAAACTGCGCTATCAAAGAGATCTTTTAAACAGTTTAGACCTCTAGCTACAGCTGTAGCTACAACTGTACTGGTTTTCAATGAGCGACACACGCGTAATGAAGCAAGAGTGCCAAGGCCATATAGACCTATCCGAGTTGCTCAAGGTCTGTTTTTTGAAGTGAGGCTAAGTGCGAAGCCATTGAGATGGAAAGGTTTTTTATTATGCAAGTAAAACTCATTTTCACCAAGAGAGGGAAAAAATTAGTGCAAAAGTAAACACTTTTGCACTATAAGTATATTGACAGCACATACACCTGATGCCAGTTCTTTGCTTTGAGGGTAGCGTTTACACTATGATGAATCTTGGACTCTCAAACTAAAAAAAAAAATACGCAAGGGGAAAGCAAGACGACACCAACACTGCAGAGTTTAACCTTCAATTTTTTTTTCAGAATTCTTAAATACAGACATATACACAGTTACACTAGCGAGGTTGCAAAAAAAAATCTCAATCGATAGGGAAAGTACGTGCAGAGTTCGAGCAACCAGCACTTGTTATGACTGTCAGTTTTCCTTCAGTTTCTCTTTAGGTGTCATACAGCATCTAAACTCACAGGAAGGCAGGCAGGCTTTTTGGCAACTCACTTTACACACGCCTCTGTTCTTGTTCTTAGCTGTTATATTTTTCTTCTTCGTGAGTTTCTTGGCTACGGTTTTCTCTTTCTTTGTATGTTTTTTGATAGCGCTCTTTTTTCTTGCATATCCAATGTGAGGTTGTTTCTCGAGCCTTTTCGCCACCTTTCTTGGAACAGCGTAAGGTGGTGCTATGCAGCAGACCAGGTTGCATGTAGGTAGGCATCGTCTTCTACAAACTGGTTTACAAGACCCCCATGACTTTGATCCTACAAAACAACTCATAAATTAAGATCTTCCTAAGAGCTTCATGTAAATTCATAACAATCATCCTTAGTCCTTCAAACGCCAAGTTGGAACATTTTTTCTGGACTGCTTAGGTGGCAGTTTACGCTATATGAAGTAAAATGTAGCCCCTATATGTGAACATGAATGTGTTTTTTTGTGACAGACCGTCACAACAGTGACTATGTCCCCTAAGTACCTTTGACGAACACTGTGTCCGATCTTGATCAACCCAAAGAATTTTGTAGCGAAGCTCTCGCGCAGAAGAGCACCATGGGTAAGAAAATTTGGTTATCTATGCATCCGAGAAATTTTGGTAGTGACTTTTAGTCAGGTGACTGTGCGCCCGTCCGTCCGCACCACGCATACCATTGCGAAATAACTCAATCAACAGGTATGCCAACCCAAATGCATCGTCATACAACGTCTTATTTCTTCTCCTGTCCTGTTGCGTAAGCTCACTAATAATTACTATACTGACCATGATATTTAAGGCAATTTAGCCAGGTTACATTTTTCAGAACTTACGTTTTCCTCTTATGTATGAAGCCTCCGGTCCTCTCTCGGTTCCTTTTTCTGGCTGTCGAATCACATCAACTAGTATACCTTTGTTATTTACAGAGGCTTTTCCTCTTTCATCTTTGAGGTCTGGGGTAGATTCAGACGGTAGGACCGTAAGGTATAGACCAAGAAGTACTGCCAAACAAAGGCCTGCCAGAGTAGCCATTCTATGAGAAGTGTAGACTGACAGGCTACTGGATTGTAAGGCAAATTCGGTTAGCATTTCCCGGTTAAATCTCTCTTAGCGGAGACCTCCATGAGACTCCCTGTTATGGAGGGGGCGGAGGTTACACATTATGCACCAAGGCAACCTGAATGGTCAATACTACATTAAGGGAAGTTTCGGCTTAGGTGGGAAATTATTGTTACATCTTAAGTCACTTTTCACCTTTTCGTTTTGCATTCAAGTATCGAGTAATTCGGACTTTTAGTTTTTATGGATTTTCGCCTTGGTTTGATTTACTATCCACTTAAGGGGGAAGTTGAGAGGTGGGTTAGCTTTTCCGCTTACAGGAGATGTGAAAGTTACCGGGAAAGCCGTTTGGTATCCATTTGCGCAGGGTGGTATCCCTTAGAGGAGGCTCTAAAATCCTGGGTTTATCTAGTTGCTATGGCAGCTAACCCTAAATTGGTGCTTATCGTCCTTCAAACAACTCGGCCATGATATTGAAGAGTTCAAACAATTTTATTGCATTAAACCGTCGAGAGAATATCTCACATCTCTCCATTGCATTGGTAACTCAGTTTTCCATGCAAATACGACCCACTGACTGACAGACTCCCTTTTGCATTGGCTCAGAACCCATAACCAACACAATTCTGCAACAACTGTTTATCCACATTTAGATTGCCCGAGTGTCATTAAATCAATAATACTCTAATCTTATTTTGTTTTTTTAGTTTCCTTTCTGTTGTATCCAGGGTCTTTTGACCTGAAGAATGTCCCGAGAAGATCTGATTGCTAGATCCATATATGATCCGCAACATTTGTAGCCTGAATTTCAACCGATTACTTCGAGTCGTTATTACTCCCTCAGTAACGAGGAGAAAACGACTCGAAGCAATCAGATGAATTTCAGGCTACAACATTTGTCCGTGATTCAGTATTGCCACGGATGGGTTAAACCCGGCATGAAAGTAAGCTTATTCTCTGTTACTGCGCTTAAGAAAGCAGTTCTTGCAGGGAAAAAATCATTTGACATAAAAATCTGTGTTTAATGAAAAGTGAAGGACATGTCTCGATGACTGCAGCAGTATCGAATGCAAATAAAACATTTAACAAGAGTCAGTGTTACCTCAAATCCAGTTAAATTCCACGGAATTATAGTGAACGCCCCATTGATGCCTAGGTACTCCTGATTGACCAGCACGCCCTTCTATCGAATAAAACTTCACTGAACTCGTTTCATTGAGATAATCATGAAAATTGGCTTAGGTTATAGGTTTATGTAAAGAAAAAAGACCACAGGATTCCAAATCATTCAACACAAAAAGACAGGGACAATTTGATTGGTTAAGAATTTAAAACAAGTTAAAAAACTTTTGCGACTTTGACAGGTTGCTCAAAATAAAAGAGTAATCTCTGCAACGTGCCTTTTTCAATAAAGGAAAGGGATACGAGAAATAAAAAACGGAAACTCGCGAGGCCTTTTATAATCATCTGAGAACCTATCAAAACAGGATAACTGTTTAAAATTGCAAAGAAACTATTCGAAATTTTAATTTGCCCATGACGGGTAACCCGTGAAACACAACCGGTATTCTCACACTGCGTTGGAAACACTGAAAACCGTTCAAAGCTCTAAAGTTATGGACAACAAACATGGATTGTTAGTAAACCCATCGGAGTATTCGCGTTCTACTAAAGTTTTTGACAGTGCACGCAATTTAGCCACTATTTTTGGACTATTGGAAGCCCAGAAACTTTTAAAAATATTTTCGCATTCATTCCGCCGTTCTATTCAAAGCGACGTTAAATGATCTAAAATTGGAGTTCTGTGGAGAATTTGACCTCTTTGCGACGGTTTAAACAGCTACAAATCCGTTGCTAAGATTTCAGGCATTATGGACTTGCTTCTTTTGCAAGATCACAATCGCATTTTTGAGGCTCTTTTAAAAAGAAACACTGTAACAAAAAGACTGTAAAAAAAAGCAAGAAAATAGAAAACGACAACAACAACAACAACAATTTGAACTGGAGTGACGATAGTTTTCTCAAGAAAATTTAAGGATTTCCTCACATAAGTTAGCTTAGGGAGGTACTGAGCAGGTCAGGTCCATTACCCAAAGCTAGAGTGGGATGGCTGGGAGTTTCTTTTATGCTCAAAACCATTGCATACCAATGAAAACACTGTAGTATTAAACAAAAGTTTCGCAGCATTTTTATTCACCTTGTTTTCTCTATTAATATAAGAAGGAATCAGTTGTTCATCGAAAACTATTTTATTACTCAGGACAGTCATCTTCACGTAATGCGACTGAAGTAACGGTATTCCAGAAACCATCAGTTTTTTTACAGTATGTAAATGTTGTAAGCAATGATTTTTCCAAGCCTCCTTACTGGTTTCAAATTAAATATGTCCTGCTATGACGATTTACTCACGTCGAAAGCCACAAGTTTTACTTACTTTAAAATTTAAAAAAACATAGAGAAAGTCATCAGTATAAAGCACCACTGGTAAGTGAGGGTGGCCCCTTTAGATATAATGAACTCACGGCAAGGTTTACAAAAGAAAATGGTTTTACCAGAAAGAACAACGAACATAAAAGCATCGAAGCAGCTAGGCTAAGATCGTTTTACGGCGAATCCTGGTCAGATTTGTTACAATTCACTTTCCAATCTTCCAACTGATTAAGCAGTTATTGCAACAGCCGTGTGCAGTTTGGCATCATGGGTGTGGTCATCATAGTACGGATCTCTTGCTTTAATACTCCTGAAATAAAAATAAAATAAAAATTTACAAATGTAGGATTTGCAGTACTAGGGAGTTGTAGCCTGTTCCAGGCTCCAAGATTGTAATGTGCAGCCGTGCAGTAAAAAGGTAAAAAGTGAAAGCGAAAAACACACGGGGGCTGGGGAGAGAGACCCATTTACCGGATCACACTTGTTTTTTCTAATTTTTGCTTTGCTGTTTCATTTTCGCGACGCCCCTACCACACTGTATCTGCGGATAGCCTGGCAAACAACGCCGGAAAAATAAAAGGTTACATGCAAAGAAAGTGGCGAGAAAGCCTGAAAAGAAACCTTAAATCTTAAAACAGGCCTCCCACAAAATAGAACGGAAGAAATTTACAATTATAATACAGGAATACAACGGTACCACACAGTTACTAGAGGCAGAGTTTTTACGCCAGCTACAATGTATCACTAGACCTATTAAAGCAATGAATGTGATTATCATACCTGGCTACATAAGGTTTCTGCCAGCGTAGTTCGGCGGTAGTGTTGATATCAGGGCCCATTGTATGCACACTAGTTCCTTTAGTGAAACCATTTGGTAGCTGAGTGAACACATTTCCCTCAGTGCGACCCATCCGGTCATCGCCTCGTGGATTCATGTTATAATGTCTATTTAAAAACAAAATTAGATATCGCCATAGGAATAGTGTCACTTAAGCGGTTCAAAGGCTTTTCAAGGAAGTTGCTGGGAAATAATCAGTGGAGTCCCTTAGTTTTCTCCCAACCGGCAAACCGACAAGTATACTAAAGGCACGGAGAGTGTAATGCCAAGTACACATATTTTTCACCTCTACAAGTCGCCTCGCGCCTCTTCGCTTTAATACATGCCCTGCCTTGAAAACCGATTTTGTGAAAAAAAATCGAATATTTTGCATTCAGTCTGGCGAAAGAGGCAAAGGAGTAAGTAGGTTCTCTTGCAATTTTAATGAACTCATGTTTTATCATCCTCTAAATTATAAATACTTACTTGGCATTGTAGTGAGTTTCAAATCTTCTTAGTGAGTCCGCAGTCTCCGCTGTCTCAAAGTATTGGTCGTTATTTTCACTGTACCCAGTTAGTTCCTAAAATATTCAAGCAAGTAAAGTTAAAGTCTGTTAGGGAATTTTAAGGACTCGACACTAAGAGGTTCATAACATCTCCTTTAATACAGATTTTGAAACTGTACGCCCGGATATGTTACAAGATGAAGTGGTGCGGCAAGCAATGAGCAAGATATGCACCATTTACTATTGATGCGCTACTGCCCTTTTCATTTTCTTTTGTTGTTATTATTATTTTTTATCTAGCAAACTCATGGTAGAATTAAGTCTGTCGAGTATTGGTGTTTCGGTAGTAATTCCCAACTTTCTGTGAAAAGAACTAGCTTGATGAAGCTTATTAAAGCCTCCAAAGCTGAGCTTGCATATCTGGGAAATGATTTCCTAGGCAATGACTGAGTACTCTTTTTAATCATACTTGTCGCTAATTGACCTAATTTATTGGGAACGATGTTTATTCGGTCAGTGACATAGGCGATTCGTAGAAGAAAAAGTCAGGTTTCTCTTAACTGGAGTGGAACCTATGACCTTCTGCTCTACCATTGAGCTGCAAGAGACTCGCAGAAGGTAAGCCCATTAAACGAGGCTGATGTGACAAACATGTACATCCTGCCTGTATGTCTGTTTTTCTTGGCATGTCTGTAAGGTAGCTAATTAGCTAAGAAGATTGACCACGTTAAATAAAGAGTATTGTGTGCCTAAATGCAAAATCATTATTGCACCCATTTTCTATCGGGGTTTGTTGGGAGAAGTGAGAACTGGGCCTTTTTACGCCCCTCCCAATTTCTGAAAGAAAACTTACTTACCTTTGTTCCAGTGGAAACGTTACCCAGTCTTTCCGCTTCAGTTGGATCATTTCTCTGTTTGCCTTTAAATGATAGCTTGGCAATGCTAAAGGAAAGAAAACATGGTATTTCAGCGATAGCATAGTAATTGTCTATTCCACAATTATTCCACGAGCTCACGGGTGCTCGCATTGCGTTAAGGAGGTACAGAAAAATGGATATAAATTGAATACATCTGGCGTTTCTCTTCGCCCCTGCCAAGCGGTTCTTTTTGTTTGTATGCGGGTAAGGCCGAGCAAAAGGAATGTATTTGTTTGAGGAACGAACCAAAGAAATCTGACAACTCCTCAAGCGCTTTACGCGGCCACGAAGCCGATAGAGATTGGGGACGAGATTATTTTCGCGCGACGTTTCCCGCCCAGTCTCTCCCCATAAAATGGCGGATGAATATGGAGTTCAGATCCATTTTTTGTCAAGATTGCAAAGCTAGTATTTTAACCAATATTGCGACCACGGTAAAAGATAACTGACTGAATTACTTGTGTAGGAAGACACAATTTCCATAAAATCAACTTCACTTGTACCTGGAGAAAGTGTGTGGGTTCGTCATGTTGGAATATTCAGCCGGATCCATCTTTTTTATTCGCTCCTGGGCTCGAGGATGGACATCGCCGACTTTCGTGTATTCCTGAAAAGAACAATGAAGTGAAGAAATTCAATGACGGTAAGTTTCATCGGGAAGGTGCAAGTTTTTTTATCCGCATTCTCTCTCTAAGTATGGCAGCACTGATTTTCGCTGGTGATAGGGTTGTAGTTGTTGGTATTGTTGTTTTTGTTTTGGAAGGAGCGCGGTTTGAACCCCAAGAGGTACTCAACAAATGTTTATACGGGGAGGCTCCGCCCCGAGGTCCAACCCCTTACCCTTGTATTTACCATTTCCCACGAAAAAGGTACCCCTAGTTTCGTACACCTTCTATTAATTGATTGACAAATGGTACCCCTTTCACATACCTTGTTTGGAACTTTGCATCCCTTTTAACTGCTGTAAATGCGCTGCTTTTAAATAGCAATCAGTCACAAAACAGAACGTTTTCTCGTCTTTATAAAGCCATAAAATCCATCTGTTAGCTCTTTTGGGCCATTCACCCAAATCACAGATTTCCCTACCTTGTTATATACTTCAACGAGTAAAATCCCTACCCTTTCATATACCTGAAGCCTGAAAAAGATACCCTTTTCCAGCAGACCCCCCCTGTATAGCATATAGGCCATCATAGGAAGTACCCCCCCCAGGTTTGAAGAAAGATTGACCGTATTCAGAGCCTGCTAGAAATATTTGCAGAGTAAAATGCGAGTTAAAATTTGAACGCTGCCGCAAGAAGGCTATTTCAATTTACAAACTTTCTAGAATGGAGTTTAAAAAATTGGCCCATTTTTAGAACGGGGTATCAGTTTTAGGGCAAATTATATAAAAAATATATAAAAAAGCTAGGTATAAAAAATTGGCCCATTTCTAGAACAGGGTAACAATTTTAGGGGAATTTTTTTTAGAATGGGGTGCCAGTCTGGAGTGCCGGGCAGCACATACCCACCCAAAAAATATCCAAGTGCCCCCCCGGGCATGTACCAGATACCAGAAACAGAAATTTTTCTTTCTCCATTGCCAATTGTCTCCAACACAGCCGCGTCTTTCATTTGATGGGTGATTACACAAGAGGAAGCAATAACTATGTCCAGGAGACTTACATCATGAACAATACCCTTATAATGGACCTCACCTGCCCTACTTTTGAATAGAAAACTGGTCTTGCTTTTGTGCCATGAGTAAATCCTGTATTTCTTTCTGATCCATGAGACAAAACAGGAAGATGCTCATTTCCCTGTTGAAGTGATATTCAAGTGATTAAGAGAATGTTAATGATGGCAGATTGTTTATTTTGTTTTACTGTAGCATTGCTTAAACACAATAGCCTGGCCTTAAATCACTCTACCACGGGCTTGTCTGTCAAAACTTGAAAGATCAACATAAAAAAGTAGTAAGAAAATTTGTGGTTGTCCTTTAAAATCTTAGATCCACTTAATCCTTGGATACAAACAACTGTAAGCTTTCATAAGTACATGTACAAAGGACCTTGATAAAAACAAAACAATTGCAGTATTTGGCTAAAAAATTATTGAATGCACACTACTTGGGTCAAATCTGTGCAGGACATAATGCATTGTAATGTTTTTAACATATTGCATACAGCTTGACATACATGAAGATATTCCACTGGCAGGAAATCCCTCTTCATGATACTAGATCCAGTTGGCCTATAAGTCCATCGTGGCTGAAAATCAAACATTACCATCAAAGAAATGTTTTGATAAATGAACAGTGAGTTATTTCTTCTATCCTTTTCTAACACTCTAATGCACATGTTGTAGTTAATTTTTACCTCAAGTAATTTTTATTTTTTCTTTGTTTAAACTTCATAAGTACACATTAATTTTACCATATCCAAAAAAAAGGAAAAAGAAAAATTACCTGAGATAAAAAATTAACTGCAACATACATCTACAATAATTATTAATTACTTTTCCCCAGTTTTTAGTTTTTTTGGAGAGGTTCTTTTTAATTAAATCACAGACTTTAATCTCCTAGATACAACTGTATGGCTAACCTGACTTTCTCGTCCTCTGTATACTTATTGGTTATATGTATGTATTTCAGCCAGCCTGTACTTCTCTTAATGTTGGATTTATGCTAATGTCTTTCAAACAACTTGGCTCTGAGATATAATATTTATTATAAGGCTTACTGGTCCGCAGAGACTATTGAATAAATTTAAACGTTAAATCAGGGAAACGATGAATATCGATAAACAATGTTAAGAAAATCACTTTAAGTGAACATTGCATGGAGATCAGGCAAATCTCTGGAAAATCTTATCTTTTGGGGCTTTTTAATTTAAAATTTTGATCTTAAATATTATTTGTTAATTTATTGAACTTGATAATACCATTCCAATTGAATGGGTCTTAAATTATTAGAGAGCGTGATCAATTTCCTACATCTCTTATTCCCTCATGAGCTTCCATTGGGTAAAAAGTGATTGGTTCATCATTGTAAGCATGTGTGAAACCTGAGCCTTCCTTGTAACCAACAGTTTTTGTTGAAGTATCCACTAAAAGTAAAAAAATATATAGTGAAACCATTATAATGACATCATCAAGTTACACAAATCACACAATGTACAAACAAAGTCCATTAAAAGTTTCTGATTCATTCATTCATAAGGCAAGAGTACTTTTAAATACTGCTAGGTTCTTTGAACAATTACTGATACCACATAACCAGACAATGTAAACTGCCTTTCACACATGTGTGTTTTAAGCTAGTACATGTATCTACATGATTGCATTAATAATTTAATTATCATTGTCACTTATCATTTATTATTATCACCTTTTTGTATAGAAAAAAATAATAGGAACTTGTACATGTACATTTTCTACACCTGAGGTATACAGTACAATTATTTTAATTGAACACATCTGAATTTCATTTTCTGTGCTTGAATTTATTAACAATATTATTATTTTCAATTTGTGGTACTTACTTCGCTGACTAGGAACTCCTAGAAAGTTTGTATGGTTTTCAGTTGACATATAGCTTGGCCCCTAAAAGAAGGAAAAGTATGATCATTATTATTGAAAATGTACAAATGCATACTTTATAAATTACTGGACAGGTATATAGTTATAAATTAATTCCAGTTAGAATATGAGTCAGAGATACATTTTTACATTTCACATATGATGTGTGTGGGATTTAGCAGCTTCATATCATATCAGGACACCAAGTGATCAACCAAATGGAAAAAGAATGAAAAAAGTGTTTTTCTGATCTTGTGTTTTTATCAAAGTTATTACCTTTTAGTAAGGTTAGCATAATTTTTCCAAGTAATTATGTTCTATGATAGACTTGGTTCAATCTACAGTCAGTCTAATTATTATTAAGACAATGTTATCTTTATAAAGGAAATATCTTCAGTTAATTATTTTCCTGTACCCCTCTAAATGAACTCTTGTTAGTATTAAGGACCTACTGTACTACAATAACTGTACTTGGACATTACTCTAGAGGCAATGTATTACATGTACTTACATGGAAAGCATTTTCCCTGCCGATTGGATCCTTGGCTTTGAGCGTGTGCAACAATGGACGATGGAATGGGTAAACTGCGCCCTTAGCCTTGGTGTCAATATGAACATCCCTCACCTACATGGATCAGATATTATTTCGAAAAGTGTTCACACAATACTTTATGTATTTAGCTGGAGAAACTTCTGAATCAACTCACAATTTTAGGGATAGGGTTACAGAGGTTGATACTGTAGTTAGTTTAAAACATACCTTGTCTGGATTATAGTTGTGTTAACCTAGTTGTGATTACCCTACAAAAAATACAGTAATAATAATATTAAAAGAAAAATGTAGGGGCTAACCTGTCTTGAACGTGGAATGGTGACAGGAATGTCTTTGACAAAACCACTTGTTGCTGTCATATACAGCCCTCTAGAGAAGGGGTCAGTGCCACTTGATCCTTTTGATGGCAAGAAGTGTTTCTTGGTAATGGATGAATAGTTGTCTGTTAAGAGACGACTGCAAGACAACAACAAAAATGCTATGAGAGTATAATAATTATTATGCTAGTACATTTGAGAATTTTGATGCACTTGATGCAAACTCGCTAGTTGTTTACATGATTCTATTGTCCACTCTCTCCAAGATCAACACTTTTAGGACCGGCACTTAAAGGGTTTGTCTAAGAGTGACGTAAGTAATTCTGCCCAGGCTGCTGTATCCTGTGCAACAAACAATAATGTGCATGCATACACCTGTACAATGATATTTGCCAATGTATGTACTATCAACAGAGTAATTTTTTCGCCGTTGTAAATACAAGAAATGCATAACCTACCCCATTGCTGGGTTGTCAAGCTCATCCAGACGTCGACTGTAATACACCCCCGGTCTAAAATTAGATTGATATCCTGTGCCGTAATGGCGTCCAGTCCTTGGAATGAAACCTTCCTTTCCATAATGAGTAGAATACTCTGTGCAATAGAACTTCATAACTGGGTGTAGTCGTGGGAACGAGACATTATACACCCGTAAAGGACCGGGTATCCCGAGGCGTCCCATTGTTGCCTACAGTACTGAAAGTACTTTAAAACAATCAGGGCTGTCACTAAGGCTCGGTTCATACACCATACTTTTCATGAGCCGAACCTAATTCAAATTAAGGCCAACCCAAATTATTAAGATCGGTTGAATTGATTCAGATGCAGATCTTAATAGTATTTGCAGCTGAACTGAGTTCAAAATGCAAAAAATGCTCATTTACTGTCAATCTGCTTACAAATACGTTATAATAATAAATATTATGCATTAGGTTCGGTGCATGAAAAGTTTGGCGTCTGATTCAAAGCCATTCAAAGTCGCTCCAAAGGCGAAATTCCCGACTGGGCTAGGCGAAAAGAACGGCTATGCCATTCCAAATTGAAACTAGTGTTCCTAATTGATTCAGATGCCAAATTTTTCATGTACTTAATTCAATGTATTAGGTTCGGCTGATGAAAAGTTTGGCGTCTCAACCAGGCCTAATATATGAAATTTCTTAGTATATGCAATAGTCCACATTAAATTAAAATTCTAACATGACTCCAAGGCTTTCTAGTCACATTTCTATATTTGGTTTGGTTTTCTTGGTTCTTAGGTCTGATTTCTTGGAGTTGCCAGACAATAGAGTCGTGAAAAATTTGCAATTTTGTCCCTCAAGCCTAAGAATCATGTTAGAATTTTAACATATCAAACATGGGCTATTAGTAGGCGGTTTTATTTTCGTTTTGGGTCCTATGCAGAGACAGCGGGGGACATACTCATAGACCCCAGGGGAGATCCCAAGCCCTTATTAAGTGACAGCACTGGCAAGTTCATGTGACGAGGACGCCATAATAGCATTCACTAATTAATATTATCACCCATGCAGTCTCCAGTACTTCTTTCAATTCAGGTTAATTTTGGTCATTTTCAATGGAGTTGTTTTGGAAACAAGATCTTTACAAAGGATGTTTTTGATGCATAAATTAACCGTTTACATGTCAACAAGGACTTGAGCATTCATCAGTATTACTACAGTGACCTCTAAATTTTGGTCTCGATGCTTAAAAGAAACAAAAGTGAAAGAAACAGTCAAAAATGAAAAATATAAGGTGTCTTCTTCCTCATAATTAAGGACATTGGAATTTCTACTACTTGCACTGATCTATAAAGCATTGACCACTTTTAATCTATTGGCTAAGTTGACTCCGTGGCATGAAGTTCCAAGGTATAAGCTAAACTTCCTTGAGCGTTCTGTTCGCTGTTTACTTAACGTTATTTTACTTTTCATTTGAGCCCTCGGAGACTTTCTTTTCTTCTTATTGTTGTGCAGAGAAACCACGTCAGTATTACTCTTCGATTCAGCTTATTTCCGCTAAGTGTTCTTCGCTCGTATTCGCACGAGATGTTTATACAAAGATTGCTTATACGATGTTGTTTTAAAGCCTTGGTTAAAATATTTTTTACAGTGTACCTACCGATACAAACTCTTTTTGTGGCAGTAATTGTTCAGCAAAATATGTTCCTTTCTTCGAGAATTTCTTTCTCATTCCAGACTACAACAACGGGGTTACCAAGGCAACTTTTTTATCGCCGCTGAACACGTGTAACGTAAGCCATGCGTAACGCACTGACTGTTAAAGGCACCCCGTAACGCAATTATTAAATTCGTCTACATTTTTTGAAATTGAAAAGAATTTGAATGGACTAGTTTTTTTTTTTACAATAGCAACATTTTGGGCTTTACTTTCACTTTTGGACAACTTATGATGATGAAAGTTTTTGATTGGCGGAAAACTAGCCAGCTTGGTCGAGAACCGGAAAGAAACCAGTTTATTTTAAAGTAGACAGTCGACGGTAGCGTCTTTGTTTACATTTTTTTTCTCATTAACACACGCATTTCGTTTTCCATGGAATTACAAAATGCTGAATATTGAAGGGACATAATTATTTCTCACCGAAAATCAATCCAATTTCAGTTGGTTTATATACTTAATAGTACTGTAGTATGGGATGTTAAAAAATTTAAATTTACGTTAAATGTATGAGTTCATTTTCTCAATAACACTTTTGTCACACAGAAATTTGGCATTTCTGATGGCTGATGCTGTAATTTCAAGTTTTAATAATTACGTTGACCTTCACAACCTTTATAAACTATCAATTTGCATTCCTTCTCTGGGGAAAACATGGCGTACGCATATTTAAAGAGTCAAGTGTTACTAGATTATGCATTTTAGACATTTAAGTTCTTTCAACTTTTAAAGTCAGTTGTATCTAGCGTGATGCCTTTCCGGGTTCCAGAATATTTATAGGTACACTCTTTTAAAACTTAACTATTAGAAAGGTCTCACATGACAGCTAATGACACTGAGTCATGCAAAGTGATCGCTAAAACTTTCATTCTCTTTTCAGGCACTGCGTCAAAGATGAACGCGTCCTATCTTGAGCTCCTGGTTACCTTGGCGAGCCTCTGTTTTGTTGCTGAAAGCAGATCGTTGAAAAAATGCTGCGATAAACTGGATCCTGATGCATTCCGCAACATTGTAAGTGCATATTATTTCGTGTTTTCTATCTTTTATCTGTGAACTTCTAAGTCATGTGATAGTCTTCTGAGGAGAATACAAACAGACACTTTCATTAGTGAACAGTCATGGTTCAATAGAATCGTGAACTTGAACGAATTTTTCACTGAACAAGTCTCGCTACTTAGTTGTACAGACCCATTCTTTAAGTTGCTTTATTTGTAAGTTGTTTCCACAGGAATAGTGTAGACTGGGGGATGACCCAGTTGAAAATTCAAGTTAGTTGACAAGCTGCAGAGTAGTGCAACATGTTTATCTTTGTCTCTTGTATTAAAGGGTTAATGATTTGATAAATCTTTGTTTTGAAAAACATTCTCTGCAGACGTATTTACACCTAGGATGCACTCTCCTGTTCCAATCCTAGCCTCGAGTTATGTAACGTAATTTCGATGGCGTGACCATTTGAATGAACTGACCCTTTTAGCAGTGCTTTTTTCAGGATTTTCTCGACTTTCAACGTTTGACTCATTCAAAAAAGTTTGAATGCCGAGCTTTATGTTCGTGGTTTAGTCAACGGATGCCGGGTTCTTAGAGAGGTATTAATAAGGAGAGTTTAGGGGGCGTCGAAAACGCCCTGTCATGATTTACCGTTCNTAGTGAACAGTCATGGTTCAATAGAATCGTGAACTTGAACGAATTTTTCACTGAACAAGTCTCGCTACTTAGTTGTACAGACCCATTCTTTAAGTTGCTTTATTTGTAAGTTGTTTCCACAGGAATAGTGTAGACTGGGGGATGACCCAGTTGAAAATTCAAGTTAGTTGACAAGCTGCAGAGTAGTGCAACATGTTTATCTTTGTCTCTTGTATTAAAGGGTTAATGATTTGATAAATCTTTGTTTTGAAAAACATTCTCTGCAGACGTATTTACACCTAGGATGCACTCTCCTGTTCCAATCCTAGCCTCGAGTTATGTAACGTAATTTCGATGGCGTGACCATTTGAATGAAATGACCCTTTTAGCAGTGCTTTTTTCAGGATTTTCTCGACTTTCAACGTTTGACTCATTCAAAAAAGTTTGAATGCCGAGCTTTATGTTCGTGGTTTAGTCAACGGATGCCGGGTTCTTAGAGAGGTATTAATAAGGAGAGTTTAGGGGGCGTCGAAAACGCCCTGTCATGATTTACCGTTCTTCTGTTATGGTCAAACTTTTAAAATAAAATGTTTACAGTTAGCTCTCTCTAAAACTGACGTCGATGAGAGCAAATTGTCGTGTACGAGAGGTGTCTGCGCTATAGAGAGTCAAAGAAAATTATTAACTGAGAAACGGCAGGGACCAACTTTAGGCGTCCGTTTTAGGGAGGCATCCCTCTTACGGCGTTGCGTGACGAGAAAAAAACCGGCTGCGTTGGAGACTACCTTATCGAGCTGTCCGCTAAGTGCGAGTTGACTGGTATTCTTTTCATATAGATATCGAAAACTAAAGTCTGATCGGTCAAAACTGAATTACTACGCTGGCTAGGTCTGCGCTAAACTAATAGGTAATTAACGTCCTTTGGTAATTAGTCACGCAACGTGTCAATTTCGATTCCATTTCATTCAGTTGATTTTTACTGTTTCGTTTATTGGAAAGACTCTTATGGCTGTCGAATCAGCAAGAGATCTAGGAGTATACATAGATTTATACCTGACCTATGACACTCATATCTCCCACTTAGTCTCTTCCTGCTTGACTAAACTGGTTCAGATCAACCGCGTGAAATATTGTTTTGATAGAAAGACTTTGGTTTTAATTATTACATCTCTTGTCTTTAGCAAAATGCTCTACTGTTCGACCGTGTGGTCTAATACCTCATCTAAGAACATCCAAAAGCTGCAACTTATTCAGAATTTCGCCTGCAAAATTATCTGCGGCGCTCGGAAATATGACCACGTGACGCCATTACTTGACGAACTCAACTGGCTTCCAGTTAGCA